TTAAGAAAGGGAAAAGTATTGGCATGTGCAAGTTCGGTAAGTTTAGTAAATTAATATTAATTTATATTATGTTGAGGGGTTTTGCTATAACAATTTAGCTCATTTAAACACTAAGTATTATTATACTGTACATTTTTACATGCTCTCTTTTATGAAGATAATAGTGCAGTTTTTCTGGGACGCACAGTGAAAAATTGATTAACAATTTCACTAAATATGTCAAAGTATAATGTTCTGTAATGCATCCGAAATATTTGTGATATTGCATCATGTTTTGAAACGCATTAAACCGGCAGTCGATGAGCAGTGATGGAGAAAGCGGCTTCCCCGATAGCTGTAAATGTTTAGGGTGGTCCACCCAAAAAATTATTGTTTTTATTAATTTGTGTTTTTTTACAACATTTTTTCTTGTTTTACGTACAATTCTAAATTTTCACATTCATACGATCAACCTCCGATTTTTTATCGCGATTTTTATATGATTCTGTTCCATCCCCAGATCTACAAGAAGGCAATCGAATATAATATTATTAATTTTAGGTGATAGATGATATTATATTAATAATAATTGTAGTGTACTATAGTTTCCATTTATGGTTCTATGAACTATGTTTTTGGTGCCTTTGCACAAACACTGCTCTATTCAAAAGTACCATGTTATTTTACATGGACTCAACCGAGAATGTGGATGCCCCGCCAGCAAGACACCCCAGTTGATATATGCCCCGGTTTATTCAAATCAATTAATTTGGGTCGTGTATATACAGTCAATTCAAGGCAGACCGAGTGCTTTTATCAGAGATTGTTGTCGGTTAATTTTACCGAAACGTTTTCATTTGAAGATATACATACATAAGTACATAAAGTAAATGGACAACAGTATCCAATGTATAAAGAAGCATGTCTTGAACTAAGCTTGCTAGAAGATGACAATCCATGGGCAGTCTGCTTGCTGTAGTAACATTAACACAGGAAAACATATTCGTCTACTATTTGCTATACTTGTAATACTGGTGACTTGTTTTTTTGGATACATCTGGTGGAACTGGCAAAACATTCCTTATTTCGCTACCTGAGATACGATTAAAGAATGGCATCGCATTGACCGTTGCATCATCTGGCATTGCAACAACTTTATAGGACGGAGGCAAAATTGCTTATTTAGCATTTAAGCTGCCATTAATCATTCAAAATAACCCAGATGCAGGTCGCAACACAAAAACATGGACATATGCACTATGGCACACAAACATGCGCTTGAGGCATTGGATAGGATATTGAAAGATATAAAAAAACAACGACAACCTATTTGGCGGTACTCTGTTACTACTTTCAGGTGATCAGACAGACACTTGCCTTTATTCCACGTTCAACGCTTGCTTAAAATCATCGCGACGGTGGCGTAATGTTGAAAAAGTACAACTGACAGTGAACATGGTCGTTTATATGCTTCAAGATCCAACTTTCTCAAAACAATTCTTAGATATTGGCAATGGAAAAGTAGCTGTACATGAAAATATTGGATGCATAAAATTACCAACAGATTTCCGCTCAATCACCTACCAACAAAATACTCTCATCGACGATATACGATATGTCCCAATGTACACCCAAAATATAAAAATTTTGAGTGGCCAGCAGAAATATCGATTTTGGAAGCAAAAAATGTGGACTTCAGTGAATAAATTCACAGATACAACGCCAAAGAAGCTGCGATGTATCCAGTTGAGTGCTTGAATTTATTGTCTGTTTGTGGCTTGGATTTATCGTTGATTATTTTTAATATAAATAATAAGAAGTAAAAATATTAACTAGGTATAGATATTGTTGCTTTCAATAATTGTAATTTAATATACCTATGTTTACCATATTTGTAAACTTTACTTAAAACAAACTTATTAATTTAAATAAAGTAAACTTCTATTGTCTACAACTCTGCATTCCTCTTTCAATTACAATTACATACTCCAAACAATTAAAGTATCAGTTATTGAAATGAAACTTCTAATGGGAGTTCTTAAAAGGTTGCATTTAACGTTTAACGCCCAGTGGTTAGGGTGTATGTGAAACATCACATACATACATGCCTACCAGCAAATTTTTCAAGAGAATTCGTTCAACCGCTATTCGTTCCGCTATTCTATCAATATCTTATAACTGTGTAATTCTCACCTACTTTAAACAAGTTGCATGATAAAAGGCTTCTTGTGAGCTGATAAAAGCATACACCGGTACGGGCATTAGCCATTGCATTTCGGCTGAGTTGAACTTTACGATGATTCCTAATGGGAATAACTCGTTGGTGTATCTTTTGGTAGCTGGGAATGGCTTTCGTGCCATCCAGACTTATAAATCAATATGGATGTTGTAATTTCTTAGTGTTGTTTCAGTCATTTCTAATATGTCATGGTCTGTTTCATTGTATTCAGTAATGTTTGTGTGTGTCATGAAAAGATATACGCAAGAACAACGTTTACAAATTGTTCAATTTTATTATCAAACTAATTGTTCTCCAATTGCATCTTTTCGTTCGCTTTTGCCATTTTATG